TCTGCTTTATTGACTATGCGAAAGCCTTCGACTGTGTGGATCACAATAAACTGTGGAAAATTCTGAAAGAGATGGGAATACCAGACCACCTGACCTGCCTCTTGAGAAACCTATATGCAGGTCAGGAAGCAACAGTTAGAACTGGACATGGAACAACAAACTGGTTTCAAATAGGAAAAGGAGTACGTCAAGGCTGTGTATTGTCACCCTGCTTATTTAACTTATGTGCAGAGTACATCATGAGAAACGCTGGGCTGGAAGAAGCACAAGCTGGAATCAAGATTGCCGGGAGAAATATTAATAACCTCAGATATGCAGATGACACCACCCTTATGGCAGAGAGTGAAGAAGAACTAAAGTCTCTTGATGAAAGTGAAAGATAAGAGTGAAAAAGCTGGCTTAAAGCTGAACATACAGAAAACTAAGATCATGGCATCTGGTCCCATCACCTCATGGGAAATAGATGGGGAGACAGTGGAAACAGTGTCAGACTTCATTTTTTGGGCTCCAAAATCTCTGTGGATGGTTACTGCAGCCATGAAATTTAAAGACGCTTACTCCTTGGAAGGAAAGTTATGACCAACCTAGATAGCATATTAAAAAGCAGAGACATTACTTTGCCAACAAAGGTCCGTCTGGTCAAGGCTATGGTTTTTACAGTGGTCATGGATGGATGTGAGAGTCGGACTGTGAAGAAAGCTGAGTGCCGAAAAATTGATGCTTTTGAACTGTGGTGTTGGAGAGTCCCTTGGACTGCAAGGAGATCCAACCAGTCCATCCTAAAGGAGATCAGTCCTGGGTGTTCACTGGAAGGACTGATGCTGAAGCTGAAACTCTAGTACTTTGGCCACCTGATGCGAAGAGTTGACTCCTTGGAAAAGACCCTGATGCTGGGAGGGATTGGGAGTAGGAGAAGGGGGTGACAGAGGATGAGATGGCTGGATGGCATCACCGACTCGATGGGCATGAGTTTGAGTAACTCTGGGAGTTGGTGATGGACAGGGAGGCCTGGTGTGCTGCGATTCATGGGGTCGCAAAGAGTCGGACAAGACTGAGCAACTGAACTGAACTGAACTGAACCTTGTTATCTAGTTTTTCATCTCTTTCTCACCAATTCAAACTTGCATTCCACTCTCTAGAGCTTCTAACACAGTCCCTGTCACAGTCACTATCATTTTTTGTCACTAAAGTTTTGGACAAATATTGATCCTAATCTTCTGCCATTTAATCTGTTAATATTTTTTTCTTCAGCTTGGGATGTCAAGAAACAAAAATCCATGAGAGTAAGAATCTGTTCCATGAGGTATTGATCATCAGCGCCTTGAAGAGTACTGAATACACAGTAAGTACTCAATAAATACATGGTGAATGAATAAGTGATAGTTTTCCTCCTAAGTTCCTGTCATAGTCATTCTTCAGGATCAATGCAAGTAGCACCTTCCTTAAAAAGTCTTTTATAATCCTGATACACAGAATTAGATGATGTGTCCTACATATGTCAGGCAGTAGGCCAGGCACTGGGGATACAGAATTTAAGACAGAGTCCCTGGATAAAAGATTCTCAATCTGGAATTCATATACTTGTACTATAATCCTTAACACTATTCTACTTTATATTCATTTATTTATTCATCTAACAACTATGTGGATGCCTATCTTACGACAAACACAGAAGCTGTATCTCCTATTCTCTTAATGTCAAACTACCACAAAGATCAGAGACTTAATAATTATTGAATTGCATTTAAAATAATGATAGAAAAATTCTTCAAAACATTTTCTAAGATAAATGTTAGGAACCAAAATCACAATGCTTTCTAACCACTTCTTATTTGCCTATTAATTATATAACAGTATTCCTATATAAATTAACTCATATTAAAAAAGTTTTAAGATTTTTCAGATACACAAATAAATGGTAATACTGTACAATGAAATACTGCTAAAAACTACTTTAAAATGTAAAATATGCCTATCCTTTGATCCAGCAAGCTTGCTTTTGAGACTTGATCCTAAATACAAGGATGTATGTATATTTTTTGGCCTAAAAGTTAGCAGAATAAGAATGAAGTGAAGAGAGAAATCTGCAGAGAAATATGTATAGTATGGTTCCCTTTTGTTTTTTAAAAATGAAAAAAAATACAGAGTACATAGTTACATAAACAGAAGCAAAGTAGTGGGTGGACACAGTCCAACTGTTAATACTGGTTATTCCAAAGCACAGAACTGGATGAACAGAAAGATAAGCAACTCCTTTCCATGTCTTTCTCTATGCTGGCTGCTACAGGGCACATATCATTTTCATAGGTAATATATGAAGCTATTCTTTTGTATATAAAAAAGTTTGTTCTTTCTCGCTGTCCTACAATTGTAACATGGGCACTCCCCGAGTTCTGAGCATCTGATATACGATCACCCTACAGACATAAACCACGGTGCGATGCAGAACAACTTAAATGGAAAAAGGGAGGGCAGGAGTCAGGCCTCAGTGACTCCTCTTCTCACCGGGAAGCTTCATACAAGGAGGGGAAATGGGGGTGCTGAGGGCAGGACATTTAAACACAGTGAAACAATGTTAATAAACAAACAACAAAACAATGTGGAAATGGAGATGACTGGCAGGTTCCCAAGCTTCCTTAACAACAAAAAAGAGCCAATTAATTTTTAACGTGTTTGAGATACTTACTGTATGATTCCAATAATGCTTTTTCTTTTGAACACTACTACAGTTGTAAGTCAAATTTCACATGCTACATGTTATTTCTATAGGAAATAAACCTTATCAATAACACCAGCAAATATTCCAAAAGCCTGAACTCACTAGTTTAGAGCACACAAGGGCAAGTACTGTTCCATCTGCTTTCAAAACCTGTGCAGGAAGCCATTCTCAGACTATACTGGATAAATAAGCTGTCTTATGCTCAGCGTAATCAGGGAATGGTATGGTTGCTACCATTCTCACATACTGATATCTGTATGGCACTTCACAGTTGAAAAAGCTCTTTGATACACATGAATCAAATGTTCCAGCTAAGAGAAACCATTAAAATAAAACACATACACCTATCATTATAAACATATGCAACAATTTAATCTTCAACAAACAAGGTGGCAAATAATGAACTTGAAATATATGTTTGGAAGCCATTATATCAGTTAAAATTACATAGTAGATATTTAAATGTTTCATAAACAGAAAAATTCAGGCAAGAAATGGCCACAAAACCAGAAGTTTATTGTTAGTTTTATAAGCAAAGGTCAATTATTTCTACTGCAGTAGACTATGACTGATTGTTTGAGACGTAATCCACTCACAACCTTTTATTTGTACATTAACAACAAACATAAGAATATCTGGGCTATAATTCTTGACAAATTATTTCTCATACCACTTCTTCTCCACAGGGGGTAAAAAACACTAAATAAATATGGTTTCACTTTATGGAATGACGATCTTGCAAAAAGGATTAATATGATTTTATATAGATTATTAAGGTTTGAAAAGTGAAAAATTTAATTTGAAAAAATCTAACTAGGCATGCAAAATAACATATACATCAATACGTGTGTGTGCTAAGTTGCTACAGTCATGTCCAACTCTTTGCAATCCCATGACATTCTCGAGGCAAGAATACTTGAGTGGGTTGCCATGCCCTCCTCCTCCAGGGGATCTTCCTGACCCAGGGATTGAACCCGCATCACTTATGTCTCCTGCATTGGCAAGCGGTTTCTTTACTACTAGTGCCACTTGGGAAGCCCCATACACCAATATGCCAAAGACTAAAAATGAAAGATATATTTACACTTACTTTCAGACACAGCAAAAATAAGCAAAATTTATAATGCTTTCTACACACGGTAGGTATTTTACACAGATTAAATAAAACTTTTCCAGAAAAACACTCCATATATATGAAGCCAGTAAGGTATATTTTCAGATATTCAGATACTTTAAGGGAAGGGAATGAAGAATCAGTCCATTCACAAAGAAACAACAAGACTTCATAAATCATCTAATATGAATAAGAACTAGAATTCAATGTGAAAAACTTAAATGAGGCTCAATGATAATCAGAAAAGTCCACATAAAGCAAATTCATTTAAAACACAGACCAAATATCATGGTAAATAGTGGGAATAAAAAGTTTGACAGAGACATTCTCTTGAAAAATATTTTAGTTTTTTTAATATCATAAAATGTTGGTTTTGTGGCAAAAATTTCCCCAATAAATTAGATGATAACTCAAAGTCATTTGATTTTCACAGTGTAATCATTGAGATTCTTTGGTTTTGGAGTTTTTCAAAATACTCAAAACACATCAAGCCTCCTAATGTTAATTTTCATATTTTAATCTTCAAATCTTTATCTTTTTAAATACCTCTAAATCAAAGTCATCCTTGTTGGCCTTTCTCTTCTTTACTTTTTAACTGGTCTACTGGATACTGTAACATCCATAAATCATTTAGGAATCTTAACACACAAAGAAAACACAGGCCCAGAGAGATATACAGACTAAATTCAGAGGGGTTTCTGAATGGGGACTAATTTTTTTTTTTTAATTTTATTGTAGTATAGTTCGCTCACAATGTTGCATTAGTTTCAGGTGTACAGCAAAGTGATCTGTCTGTGCATACATATATATTCATTCTTCTTCAGATTCTTTTCTCAGATAGGTTATCACAGAATATTGAGTAGAGTTCCCTGTGCTATATAGTAAGTCCTAGCTGGTTATCTATCTTATATGTAGTAGCATGTGGGACTAAGTGGTATATTAGTGAATATTTTGCTTTCCTATACAACTCCTGCAACTTTGTAACTGCAGGAATTGGATAGTGAATTTCCACCTAAGGAGAACCCACTGTATATGTACTTTTATTACATGTTTATACAACAAGAGGGGATATACATCTTGGTTCTGGATATCTTAAGAAACATAAAACATATCTTGATCAGGACTACATTATAAATAACTTTTAAAAAATGTAATGTAATACTGTACCAAGGTTGTAAGGGAGTTCCTTTTCATGTAGAGTCTCTCCAAGTACTGTAGTCCCTCATCTTTCAGTAACTCCAATGGGAAATGCTGCAGATTCCTGTAATTTAAGAACAAATTCTTGTGCTTTTCCAGCCTTGCCACAGAGATCGTCTTACAAAGTTCGGATGCCATGGCTGAACATATTCCATCAGGCACGGTGCAGTACTACATCTTGTCAAAACTGGTCCATTTCTAAAGAGAACAAAAAACCTGAAAATTATGATACTGATAACAACAGCTGCCAGTTAGCATATATAGCTATTTGCAGACATTAAAAAGAGAGTTATACATCAATTCCTACATTTTCATTCCATAGCAACTAAATTTTCATACATATTTAAAGATTAAAATGAATAACTACTTAATTTTAAAAAGTACTCTATTTAAGCAATATTTACTACTTAGAATAGTCCTATTTGAAAAATTAGTTCTTGAAATTGAGATAGGAATCCCTATCTAAGAGAACAGAGACCAGTTTCATAACACATAACTGAAGAAAGAGCTTAAAAATCAGACACAGCAAAGCCATTTCCTTCCTTCCTACCTCATTTTGTCTTTAACTTAAAATATTTTTAAAATACTTAAATCTATATAAACTATGACTAGATCATTTACAGCTTCATTTTCTGCACTTCTTACTATCTAAATATTGTTCTATATTGTAATATTTTCTTTCTTTTCTCCTCATCCTCTTTTCTTTCTTCTTAGCTTTGCAGATTATCAGAAGTAGCAAAGAAACAGGCTTGGGAACATAGTTATACTTTATTATTTCAATGAAAGAAGAAATACTGCCTGAGGAAATAAGAATCCTGTATTTTTCTATTACAACCTCTCTGGGCTTCAACTGCCTAACATATAAAATGGAGACAGCAATTTATTGGTAAGGGCCAGAACCCAGAACAGATTAAATTCCCTTCTAGCTCTAAACTGACATGGGTAGGAAGAGAAATAAGATTTGCCATCTTATCAATTAGACACAGGGCAGAAACAAACTTCACAATCACCACAAAAAGAAACAAGCTCAGAGCTACAATAATCTGCCCAAGGTCAAGCAGCTCATAAGGGAATAAAGGATTTTTTTTTCTTTGGGTGGGGAAGGGTGTCCAGACTGAAGTCTTTGCACACACAGACCAACAGAATTCTACAAGATACTAAGGAAATGCTAAAACACTAAAAACAAGATGAACTTTGTTCAAAGATTCTGCTCTCGTTTACTTGGGCACCCTTCCTCAAACTCTCCAAAGGAAAATACCTTTCAAAGAAAATGGTTTTTCTTAAGAAAAAATTTCACTGAGAATTGACACCAAATTAGCACAAATGTAGTAACATAAGCTTTCAATAAGCAGTGTTTTGTAACTTTTTGTTTATATTCTATTATTTCCAAACTTTAATTCTTAATAGGAAACTACCTGCTATTTTATATAAAAGGGAAGAGAATATGGAGTACTCAATAATCTCCCCAATGGAGCATGAGAGTCCAATACCTTCCCATTTTTATACTAGCTACTCACTTACCTATTTTTATGAGACATATTACATGACTCTAAACAAGATAATCTTTCCACATCTTAATTCTCTCCCTATGAAGCAAGGAGAATGAGGCTAGAAATAACGTTGATGATTGTTATTTGGAAAGGGAAGTTTTCTGGGTAATTATTCACTTAAATGGTAAACTGGAAGCAGTTTAGCTGTCTCAGAAACACCTCAAACTTAACACATTCAAATAAGAGTTTTTTTATTTTCATCACCTATCCAGTTCTCTCCCAGTTGTTCCAAACACCAGGAAAGCCTGAAGTCAAGAATGATTCCACCCACCCATCATGAATGAGTCACCCACCACCTCCATTCCATCACAAGGCCTATGGTTTCCATCTCCAAAATACACCTCAATTCAATCCACATTTCTCCATCTGCCAAAATAGAAAACCAGTCATCTCCTGCCTGGCCATATATTTTACTGGTCTCCCTGTGTTTAGTCATTCTGTAATAAATTAATCACTTAGCAGGGAGCTTTTAAAAAGGTAAATCCAATTATGTCTCCCTCTCTTTCTCAGGTAAATTCACTCCCTAGTCACATGAATTCTTAAAAAAAAAAAAAGAAAAACCCTTCAAAAGTTTATTTAGAAAAATCAAACTTACCAGGTATTAAGGGCTCTTCACAACCTGGTCCCACCCACTCCTTCAGCCTGGCAGCACCCTTCCTAGTTTCTCACCAGTCCTGGGCTTTTCTAGTGCTTCTGAGTTCTGCACTCCTCACATCACTTGCTGCTCTCCTCTGAGCCTTGAAAACACTGTCTCAACACCCTTCAGGTTTCAATGTAAAATCACATCTCCATCCCAAATAAAGTACTCTGTCTTCCTCTTTCTTTGTAGAACTCTCCACAGTTTATTATCTATATAGTTATTGATGTATCTATTATCAATCTAGCCCAGAGACTATACCATGAGCTCCTGAGGGCAGAGATCCCGCTGTTTTCTTCACATTTGTATACCTGCTTCTAGTGCAAAGCAGGCCCTCAAACAGCTGATGAACTGCGGAAAGTAGGGCATGTGAGTAACACTGCAAGGTAGACTTTTTTTTCATCTCTGATCTAAGGTCATACTACATACTTGTAGATACTATAGGCTGAGTGTTTTCTATGTGCTTTGATGTCTCAATCCTTAAAACTCTGCATTGCGATATGTTATTTAGTCTGTTTTATAGATGAGGAAACTGAGTTTTCTCAAAGAGCAACTCAGAATTCCAACCCAACTGGACGACTTCAAAGCCTGTGCATTGTTCTACAGTGTAGCCTTTCATGAACTTCGACAGGACCCGTGTTTCTTCCAATTACTATTTAAACGGAAGGCAAAGTTTACACAAATTTAAGACCACAAGGCACAGCCAAAGTCCTTGATGGTTAGATCCAGTAAGAGAATACAGCATAACCTGATGGCTCTCCTTCTAATCCTGTAGAGATGGGTGGGATTGACTGCTTTAAAAACGTCATTACACTCTGTTAAAATGCAGTTTGGCAGATGAAATCTACACAAATGAAATCTGAAAGCTGTCAATAATAAATAATGGTAATGGTTTTCCAAATGCATTCATTGGTAGTACAGGATAATTTTCTCACACATACTCCCTTCAGTACCTCTTATCTACAATTAAAAGCAAATGATACACTTAATATTAGCTGTATACAACTGCATCTGCATAAGAGTTTTCTGACAGGTAAACACCAATCCACTCTATTACTGTTTAAAGCAAACAAACCTTTCCACCTTAAGAAAATTCCACACATTTTTAAGCAGGTGTGTTTTAAAGGGAAAGGAGTACCTTCGATTGACTTCCGTACTTAACACGGTCCAACTTCCTAATACTGGAGATTAGAGGATTAAAATCGTACATTAAAAGCGTTTGTTAAGGTTATTTTCTCAGTACTGAGAAGACTAGCAGAAGTCAGGCAAAACACATGCCATTTTGCCGAGTTAACCAAGCACTCTCGTCGTTAGACTTTGGAAGCAGCGAGACTAGTAGAAAGGATTTCACAGACCCAGTGAAGGGATTCTGTGACCACCAGGGCTAGGAGGGCCCGGCGGGAGTGGCTACCCGAGGCCTGGGTGGGCCCGCTCAGGCCGGGGTCCACTTGCTGCGGCCCGACGCCTCTGCCAGGCTCGGCCTGCTTGGTCAGGGGCGGGCCAGAGGGCACTGCTACGTGAGGCACCCGAAGGAGCGAAGCACCAAACTCACCTCCGCCGGCGGAGCCAGCGCTCCCGAGCTGAGGGGCGCCGGACGGCTAGCCCGGGCTCGGCAGGCGGGGCGGGGCGCCGCCGGCGACGGGGCGTGACGCGAGCGAAAGGGGGCGGGGCGGGGCGGGACCCTCTCTTCAGAGGTCTGGGGGAGGAGCGAGCCCAGGAGAGGAAGCTCGCGATAACACGCCCCTGTGGTCGCTGTCTTACGATAGGTCGAGCGAGATGCTCGTTTTCCAAGTGGCGTGCCTATTGGTCAAAACTGCGGCTTCTCTGCGACTGGCCCCGCCTCCGACTCGGTCCTTGCTTCCGGCTCTGGCCTCAGGGGTTACCGTTGAGATGGAGTTTAGTGCTCAGTTTTGAGAGGGTGGTTTAGCTGGCTCCGGCCTTAGGGACCGTCAGTAACTTATCAGTTCTTTCGTTCCTACGTTCACTGACGCACTCGTCCTCCTATTCAATACATACGTTGAGAAATTAAGAATAACACCCAGTGTGTACCACGCAAAGTTCTAAGATCTGTACACAGGTTATCTCACTTAACTCATGGCAATCCTATGACACAGATACTATTATTATACTCGTTTGACGGATGCTGAGACCCGGTGGTTTTCTGTAATGTGGCCAAGGTTAGTGATCAAGTAGTAAGCTTCTTAAAGCACAGTATAAAAAGAAGTCACTGCGCGCTCGCAGCTTCGTTCCAAACTTGAGGCAGTAACCTAGTCTCTGCTCTTGAAATACTTGAAGTGTGCTGCGAGAAACGATCGTTAAAAGGACACTAACAACTTAGTAAGTAAAGTACTCTGGCAGTTCCTAGCATGACTGAGTAGTTTATCAATAAATATTTAATAATATTCCCGTGTCAGCAGAAAAGAGTCATAAAAGGAAGAATCTTTCATGCTGGGAAAAAGGGGGAAAAAAAGGAAGAAAAATCCAAGCATTGTTAGGAAACAGTAAAAAATACTTTTTAAAGTTCCTTGCTTGTTAGTGTGACAACGTTTCTTCTGAAATGAAGTTTTTAAAAAAACTTCCTCTCACGAAACCACTGTTATTTATTCTTTGAAAAGCTTGATGCTGATTAAACTACTGGTTCATTGTCAAGCAATCTTGACTATAGATTTATATTGGTTTACTTAGTTACTGTTAGAGATAACCTGCAAAGCAGACTTACATTAAGTAAAAATAAGACCTACGGCAAAATAACTTCTGCCCTCTGAAACTGACACAAAAGTAGCCATGTGATTCTTTGTATTAATATATTATCCTATGTGTGCCGTGCTCACTGGTGTCGGACTCTGCTACTGCACCCAATATAGCCGGCCAGGCTCCTCTGTCCATGGAATTTTCCAGGCAAGAAGAGTGGGTTGCTGTTTCCCCACATAGTGATCGAACCTGCGTTTTCA